CCAATAGAACAGATGTCAAAGGATGTGTTTCCGCAAAATATGTAAGCTACATAAGAAAGTACACAGTATAACACTGATAGGTCAAAAATAGAAGACCCGAAATCAAGCATCCGTTGAACTGTGCCTGCGGTCCCATTTTTTTTCTTCTTCTTTATCTTTGTGTGATATCCCTTGAACTACGGATCCCTCGAACTATAAAGGCCGGTCCCAACGAATTTGAGCTATCCATGTTATACTATAGACATTTATGTTTTGAGGGTTTATTTCGGCTTACATTTGCTGAACGATATGGACAGTGACAAAAATATAAACAGCTTCAAAATCTGTTTTCTTTATGCCAAGAGAGTGGGAAAAGGGTATGTCTTTGATCGTCCAGGACAGCCTATAGAGAGCGTTAAATATGAATAGAACTAAACACTAACAAAGATTAATCAAAACAAATCTTCTACTTGCATCTTCTTAGTGTTACAATATCAAGATATTTACTCACTCACCAAATTAATTGCTCATTGTTAATGAATGCCTGTCTTATCCGAATAAGACCATAAACTTGAAGCACCTAATAGGGCCCATGTACTTGACCTTTTGCCAAGTCCAACATCAAGTGGAAATTGAGCTTTTAAATGCCCAAAATGTGGCTAACGCTTCTTTTCCAGAATTGGCTTTATAGGCCACAAGTCATTTTTTTCTTTCTTTTATTTTGCTTTTAGAAACATTTTCCTCTGCAGATGCATTGGTCATTGTCTGAAATTGACAGTCAGACTATATTTATTATTATTGTTGTTGGACAAAAAAATCCATGCTAACAACAGGAAAGGTGTTTATTTCCATTTGCAGAAATTTTGTTGGAAACACAGAGGCATCTGAGTCTTATGCCTGCGACAATCATTACATCTGTTCTGAGACTCACCAGTTGAGATTGAGATACGTCAGTGTAAAGTTGTGCATGAGGTTCTCAGCAAAGCGACAAGCTCCAAAGTCTCGCATGTTGAATTTCTGCATGTGCAGTTCCTTCAGGCCTTTGTTAACCTGCAAGACAATACAACAATAAGCTCTACTTTTCTGTTGATCTTTAGTCTGTTTACTAACAGACCTGTCGTCTCAAAAGATAACCTTTGATTTTGTTTCAGAGCTTACATGGAATTGCTTAGATGTAAGTAACTCTTCAAAACCACAAATTGTATTTGAGCTATTAACTTTTCCAAGACAGTCTAGTTGATAAACATATAGAACTTAAAGACAAATCAACCTCATATGACCTGAACTCAAAAACACCCCAGTCTTTCTCAGTGGGACCATAGCATAGACCATCAAATTCTAGCATACTCACAGAACTTCAGATATAGACCAAGAGCTCTAAAGTTTCATAAGAAAAAGGAAAATGACTTATTTTTGACATGCCATTGGACACGTCATAGTGGCCACATCATGAAAACTGCTAAACAGGCCAAAACAGCACCAGTGAAGAGTCCATTCTTTTTAATTCCTTCCGTCTGACTTATCAGGTTCATTATAGGAATAAAGTAATCCAAAAGTCCCTCACGAATGTCCAGCGAGAAGAGCTCTTCACAAAAATTTCTCTTTAAGATAGTCAACCAACCATTCATTCACTTTTGTCTTACCTTTGATCATGCAAATGAAATGGTCACTTATTTCGTTTGCTTGTTTGTTTTCTTAATGTGGGCATCACTTTACATCATCATTGACATGATTTAGTTCATTTTGAAGGTAAGCATTGACCCTGCCTGTCAGGGTCAGCCTGGGCAAAGAGTGATATTACATCCACAAAGAAAGACCAGGATACTCAATGAAAATTATTCCCACGTGGGAATCAAACCCGCCTCTCTTCCATGCAGAGGCGAAACGCCCAACCACTACACCACAGACACTGATTTCATTTCTCCGCTCATTCTGGCTCACCTTGATCATGCGAGTGAAGTGATCAGTGGGTTCCTCTTGGACTGTCCACAACAGTGGCCGGTTCACGTTGAGTGCTTCCAAAGTGTTGTTTTCTCTCAAAACTGTAGCCAGAGCAATCAGACACTCAATCGTCTGAAAAGAGGAAACCAAACAGACTTTAAGATCGTGAACAAATTGACAAGACAATATCTGAAAAAATGGAAATAAAAAAAGTAGGATAAAGATGCTGTTGAGCACTTCAAATTCAAAAACTCAGAATTGTTCCATCAATATCATACTGGACAGCAGTGCGAATGACTCGTTTTTAAACCTTTGAACCCCTGTCACCGGTACATGGGTGGCACATAAAATTGCCTGCATGCCTAGCCACCGGTACAACAGTGAGAGAGACCTATCCTCAAACCGGCCTGCCTGGGACAAAACTTGCGTGCGAAACTTTGTTTACTACACAGGACATTACTGATTATTTTAAAGATCTTTCTGAATTCGAAGCTAGTAATGATGAGGACTACCACCATGCAGTGGGATATATATTATATGGAATGTAATTCTGACGATCACATGAATGTTAGAAAGGTATCATGCAGGAACTCAGGCAGAGAGGCATGGTAGCATCAGGAGGACAGGGCTCAAGGGGTAAACCCCAAGGAGGCTTTCTTAACTTCATTAAATTCTGAAGACCCACCTCTTAGTCATTCAGCACTACAGATGAAAATGTTCACACTGCGGGTTTGCATCTGCATGCATTTGTCAAGGATTCTTACAAAACCCACGTTGCCTCTTCAGAAAGCAAAAAGTTCAATAAAAGACATCAAATAGATTTGGGGCGCCATAATCATGCTAGCTAGGTCACTAGCTCTGCCTTTTTCTATAGTCAATCGAGTAAAATGAAAGCATTCAGGATATGTTTTAGGTACTTCCGTGGCGTTAAGGGGAGACGTACACTCTAGGAAAAATTTTCTAAATGAAAGTCTTTTATTCACTTTCATGTAATTGTACAAGAAGTTCATAGGTAAATAGGAAGTACTAAGGGTGAATTTGCTGATTTTTTTCTGAAAAATGGGTCTATATGACGGCCATCTTGGATTTTCAAACCAGTTTCTTAGTGCAGAAGAATTTCACAGTAAATATTGAATTATCAGCCTGAAATTTGGCACACAAGTACAAACCTATATGGACTGGGGATCCATGTAAGGATTTTGACATATCTTTAGAACTAAAAAAGGGAGCCCAAAGTCAATGAACCCCCAAGAGTCAGTTGACAAAATTTTGAGGTACATGATATTACAAAAAAAATTGAATAATTCCAAAAGTTACCAATATTTCCCAATTCCCTCAGATAGATCCCTAGAATAGATCTTAAAGCGACTGTACGCTAAATTTGAAGCTTCTAGCTTTCGTAGTTTTGAAAACTCCTTGCACCAAGGAGATCACATATGTCAAAAAGTAGATTTTGAGAAAAACATAAAAAAACAGGGATTTTTAAAAGAATTTTTAATGCAATTTGCACTTTTCAAACGCCGTTTTAGGTCATTTAGGGTGTTTTTTCAACAGATTTGTCATTGTGACCCTATAGAACAGATGTCAAAGGATGTGTTTCCGCAAAAAACAAAAGTTGGGTAGTTTGAAAAATTTTTATCTATATTGTCTGGGATCGCCGACCCGAGTCTTCCCTTAATATGATGGGAAATGCTGTCTGTGTTTTTCTTAACCCACCTCGTTCACTCAAAAATTACTAAGTACAGCAGGGGAGTGCACAAATTTTCACTCAGCGCTGAATAAGTTAAAACAACTTCAGTGCTGATCAGAGGGTTAAACAGATACCATAGGGGAGATCATGGTCTTAAACTTCACAGAGCATGCTCTTAGCTCCATTCAAAGGGCATTTTTTTATAATCATTACAATTATGCTCCAAATCAAACCTCAATCTATCCCTTTCTTCTTATTTAAAAAAATATATATCTTAAATTATGTGCAAAAAGAAAGTACCAGATCAGCATCCCCAATGTCGAGACTTTTCAGGGTTGTGTTGATCTGTAGCATTTGAGCAAAGGCCATGCCACCCGCATTGCCAATTTTGTTTCCATTCAACCTCAGGACTTTCAAAGTAGTGTTGTTCTGGGGAGTAAAAAAAAAATATACCAAGGGTTTTACGGCAAAATGGGTTGTGTCCACCATTTGAACGCTTTCCTCCCTTTCTTTCGTTTACAGGATCTTTATTTTTTAGCGGTGTTAAAATAAAATACTCTAACCTAAAGCTTGTAGTGACCAATGATTTTGTGCTACTTTGATTAATTTTTGTCCTTCAATAGAGTAATGTTATTAATTATGAATAAACCAATCAGCGTTTCTTACCTTTTCAATATTTACATACATTATCACAAAGCTAAGCAAATGTACACCATTGGATGACATAAAGAACTTGAGCTGGTTACACAAAGACCAGTACGAATATCTGTAAAGATTTAAGCAAAGGTCTGGTGCTTGATTCTCATGCAAAAGTACAGTCAAACCTGGCCAAGACAATCACTAGCACCAAAAACCACTTCCCGCTTCCTTCCTTGCATTATTTAAAAATATTATAATGAGTATTCTTTAGCAATTTAGAATATCACACACACACACACACACAAACACACATTCACACACACACACACACACACACACACACACACACACATACACACACACACTCACACACACATACACATACACATACATACATACACACAAACATGCTCGTGTGTACAAACACAAGCAAGCATACACCCACACAGGTAGAATTTAAAAAATATTCTAACAGTTTCAAAGCCAACAGAAGACAAACTCACAAACAAAGATTTAGCCAGTGCAGCAGCTCCCTCTGCCCCAAAGTCATTGCACATGACATTGAGTTCTTCGATGAATTTGTTTGTCTGTGAATGGAAACAAACATAGCACTGGAGGGGGGCTCAGTGGCTCAACAAGTTTAGTGTTTGCCTGTCAATCCAAAGATCAAAAGTTAAATCCTTGTCAGTGTCAAGGTCTTTTTCATGTTTTCTACATCCCAGGATCCATGGGTAGGCAGGATCAAACATGAAGTCTTCTCGGATAATGACTAAAATTTCAAAGATCTCATGTGAAAGTTTTGTACGTTAAAGATCCCTTGGTACAAATAAAAATCTGTCTATACATTTCTATTTCACTATACTGCATCTGTATTTCATTATACCTTTCTATACATATCTTCATGTGTCTTTTTCTACCTAAACTTCTCAATATGTATCTATGCTTATTCATATCAATACTTTTCTTAAAATTAACATACATGTACTTATCTGTATGTCACAATACTTACCTACGAATATCTATACCTATCTATTTTTGTGTTATCCTTTTCTACAGCAATCTTACCTATTGCTCTCTAGATTTATACATAACTAGTCTATATTTACATACTTATCATTACACTTCACTATCTCAGATTTCAAAGTTCTATCAGCTGAGTACCTAGCTTTGAGAAATTTAATGGGAAAGATTTTAAGTTTCACATCATATCAAGCTTTTTCAAATGCAATTCTCTGAATATTTTGTTTATGACTCCAAATAATCTTACAATTTTGATAGAGTAGATAGAACATTTAGTTTCTCTCCTCATGGTCTTAGTAAATCAAAACAGCCAAAAATTTCAGATAGAACTTTGGTACCATATCCTAGGGTAGCGACTTATCTCTACTTATGACAATACTTTAAACATTTGTACTTCTCTCAATACTTACACTGAGAAGTTTGCCTAGAGCGTTACAGCCCTGGTCGGTGATGTTGTTGTAGCGGAGGTCGATGCTGCGCACGAACTGGTTGTACTCCAGCGTCTTGTACAAAATGGCGCACTCCACATCGGTGATCCTGGCCGTGGTCAACTGAGGGTGGTCGCCGGCCAGGTACAGGTGCATGGACTCTTGGAACTCTCTGAAGAGGTGAGGTAGAAAGTTGACACACAAGTAAAGAAAGGGAGGACTTTTATTATATCTTTTTGAAAACCTAAAGCGGTCTTGACCCCTTGGTACTTTTCTTCCCCCCCTCCCTCCACCCACCACCCCCCTCCTCCCAAATCTGTCTGTCTCTTTCAGAGATTCTCTCTCTCATACTTCTCCATCAATAATTTTGTCTCCACCTCCACCACCCCCCCCCCCTCTCTCTCTCTTTTTCTCTATTTCTGTCTTTCTTTTTCTGTCTGTTTCTCTCTCTCTCTCTCTTTCTCTCTGTCTGTCTCTGTCTCTGTCTCTCTCTCTCTCTTTCTCTCTCTCTCTCTCTATCTCTCTCTCTCCTCTCTCTCTCTCTCTCTCTCTCTCTCTCTCTCTCTCTCTCTCTCTCTCTCTCTCTCTCTCTCTCTCTCTCTCTCTCTCTCCCACTTTCCCTCGTTCACTCCTTTAAGTTCAAACTAGGTAATTTTTTTCAAGATACCAGGCTATCTTTAGTCTATAAAAAACATGGTCCAGAAATATATATTATTATATATATAACGAAATGAAATAAAAGGCTGATGCTACTGTAAGAGCTTCTTTTTTTCCACGTAGGCCTTCAAAAGTTCAGAAGTGAATCGAGGTTAATCAAAACAATGTTTCTTTCTTTGTTACTCAGCAAGAGATATAACTTGAAACATTATTTTTTAAATTCCTCATGAAAATGAATTTTACCCCCCAAAAAATCAACACGATTACTTGTCTTTCAGAGTAGTTGCAATTCAAAACTACCTGTGTCGGGCTGGTTTTACTCTTAACTGCTTCCAGTACTACTATCAAGCCAATATATGACTATCAGCAGAGCCAGACAAGTTGAAACTTTGAGATAAATCATATGTGTTGTATATATATATACTGCACACATGGTATAAGTGTGTATAAAAAGAAAAAAACAATCCTCTGTACATTTCCACTCAATAAGTTTTTATATTTCACACATAATAAAACGGGATGTCAAATGACAACATACATGTTAAAAAGAGTTTATAATGAGTAAACAGTATGATTTAACACAAGACCAAGACATAAGTATAACCTGCGTGCATTTTTGGTTAGGAAAAACCCTACACACTGATAGATAGAAAACAGAAGAGAACACTTCAAAAAGAGAATAAAACTACAGGTACCAAACGTTGAGCTGCACTTTAAAGTAGCTCAGCAAAAAAATGGGCACTTTTCACCAAATTAAGTTAACAATTTCACTGAAAAGAAGTAGGAGTCAGTCATACAAATAGCTTCGGTACCTTCAACCACATGCTGAGAAACCTGACAATCACTATCTGATTAGTTCTCAAGATGCTGAATCCTCCCATCTTTTCTTCTTTTACCTTCAACTGAATTATAACACCAGTTACCTAAATGCCTATTGAATTAAAGTAAGTTACATTTTATTGGGATGCAAGGAATTTGAAAAACCAACAACCCCAAATTACACAGAGACCAGAAAGGAAAGAAGTAGACTTTGTGTGTGTTGTAAGTACTGCACATAATCAATAATTACCACAACTTTACTGGAGAGAAACAAATAACTATTTCTGCACATGCCCTTGCTGTGGCATTCATTGTTAAAAAAGGTCAGGTTAATCTGAAGTTGAGAGGATTTCCAGTTAAGATGTTCAACTAATAACAAATCAAAGACAATTACTTGCACAGGTTAACCATAGGTTGTCAACATAAAAATGAACATGCAATATATGTATCAAAAATTTAAACAAACCAAAATTAAAAATAAAGAAATTGAATTGATTTTACTTTCAAGTCATACCATTAAAACAGATTAATTCTATTGACAATGACGTTTTTCTGCTTTCACTTTCAGTTACATTATAAAAAGAAAATTATTCTAACTCCAATTTGTGAAGGGGCCCAAGCCAATCCATAGGCTAACTAAAGGAAATGTAAATTTGATTGAAAACAGTCAAGATGTTAAATGAAAGGGTCTGTTGTTGGTTACGAGAGGAATCACAGCCAACAATAGTAGTCAGATGAAACTGAGGAAACAAATGCTAACGATTCACACAGCAATTTTGTAAACAGTTGGGTTTTTTCCTAACAACAAAACACTGCATAACAACATCTGTTATGATAGTGAATAAATTCAAGCTGCATTTCATTTAACATTCATGTCAACAAATAAAAATGTTGGGAAGGGGCGGCTCTGTGTGTGTGTGTGAGTGTGTGTGTGTGTGTGTGTGTGTGTGTTTGTGAGGGGGGGGGGGCAAGAGCACGGCTACAGTATTAAAAAATATGGCCACTGCATACTTTCATTATGGAGAGTTGACTCTGAACGATCACAGGAAATAAGAACCAGAACAACAAAGATACAATTTTAAAAACCCAGCAAATGAACCAAAGAAAAAAAAGAAAGAAACTGAAAACTGAATAATGAAAGGGAAACAAAAACAAAAACAAAGTCAAAGTGATTGTTTGACTTCAACTTTAACAGTATCTCTGGCTCTACCTGTCTCTATAAATTAAGAACATGTGTGTTCAAAGCAATCTCATTATCAAATCAATAACTTCACTCATGAGGCTGGGGTCAATGACTGATCTGATTTTTAAATAAAGGGAGATTATTCAGCTTCAGTGAGGGGTTGTTCATAATTCATAAGAAAGTGTTAAAACTAAATTTGCCTACTACTCTGCCTGATGATTCCTAAGCCAATAGATCTTAGGCAGAGATTGCTAGACTTTTGCGCAACATGCAAAAACACTAAACTTTTAAATATACTTTTTTTTAAATCAAACAAAGAAAAACCCCAAAAACCAAAAGCTCAGACAAAGAAGAGATGAACTGCAAAAAGGAAAAAAATAAAAGCATTGTGAATAAAAAAAGAAGGTAAAGTATGAAAAAAAACAAAAAACAGAATCATCAAGGTGACAACCAGTTTTACCATCAACATCTTACAATAATTGTCCAACAAAAAGTTGACAGATAGTATTCACAGAAAACCAAATCCAAACAATGAAAATATATATACACCAAAAAAAGGAAACAGGAAAAAAATGTGAATATTGGAAATAGAAAATAAAGCAGGCCTTGCAAAACATGAACATAAAATCATCAACGTGATTGCAGTTTAACTGTAAATACCATGACTATCAGTAATAAGGGAGGGTCGGTAGGTGTGCCTGTGGGGATGGCAGGGGGCTGGGGGGGGGGATCGAGGTGCATATTGATTTGTTGATGTTTATCATCCTTTTCTCCCTATCATACAAAGGCTGAAATTGAACACAAAAGTTGATATGTCAAGTACAAAGGATCCTTGTATACACAATCTGGCCCCCAAGCTATGTAAAACAGGAGTTTTCAGTTCATCAAAAGTGCGCACTGTACATTACAGATCAGTGATAAATGAGAGGTGCAAAAACAAACAGGAATGCAGTCCACACTACTCACTCGTTGCTCTGTTGACGACTGTGTAAAAACGTGATATCAAAGTGCAGAGATGAAATCACTTCATAACAAACAACATCAGTGCAATTGCTATCATAACAACAATACCAGAGTGTATGTGCTTTAGACATGATCTATAAATCGATAATGCTGAATTTCAAAAAAAGAAATCTAAAACATAGTACCAGTTAACATTTTTTTTTTTATGCTGCTAAAAGCCACTAGAAATAACGCCAGACATACAAAAGGTTCATAATGGTTGCTTTTAACACTAACTTGAGTGGAAGGCTAAAGCGTTACAGCAGCAAACAAGCGAGCAAATTGCTTCTTGAATATTTAGAAGGACATAATATAGGACTCTAGTCAGTTGGATTCAGATGAAGTCAAAGTTGACATTGAGAGACCCACCACTTCACAACCAGGCCCATGCACTAGTCTGTCAACCACAAAAAATTCGCACTCTCATATAATTCTTCTCACTGTTCTTTGATTTGCCAGCATAGAATATTAAATTCTGGTCATTTTGATATGCCTATTTAATGTTCCTACTGCAAATGCTGAGTTAAAACAAAAATTGTAAGGGGCGCTACCGTAGAGTAAAAAAAATACTTTAAAGTGCTTGTTGACAGGCTGAGTAAAACCGTGGACTAGGGCCCATATATGCTAGATTTAACAAAACATTCAGGCACATATATCTCAGCAATAAAATCCCAATTGTATGGTTCATATAATTATGTGATCTCATTTTCAAAGGAAAGAATTATATTGAACCTCTGTCTTCCTTAGTATGACACTGTAACACTACATAGCCAGTGAGTTCAGTGTCTGGAAGAGAAAACACTCTGTGAAAATCATTATAAAGTCAAAATCCCTGTGGATATCATTTCAAAATACGCTGGTCACTTACAGTACATTGTTCTCTTTTTCTCGTTCAAACATGTTGGCCATGTACTGTGGTTTTTCAAGAGAAAGCTCCACACAAGCAGCCTCGAAGGACAGTACAGTAGATATAATATCAGACATCTTGGCAGGTTTCTGGAAGGTCAGAATTATAAGAATTAAAGTCACAGTAAAACTTAATGCAACTTTACTAATAAGAGCTTCTGTCTTTGCACTTATTCCTGTGTTTTACTCAGAATTATGACACAAGAAAAAAAAAGGGGAGGGGGGGGGGAAGATGACATTGAGAAAGTATAGGCCTACACACTTTATTCACAAAGTCTTCTTTCAAGATTTAAACACTTTAGGTTTCATCCTCAAACACCATTTCATTGTGATCAGTCCGCTAAACAGAACTTAAGCCAGCAAGAAAGTGAGGTATATAGATCTAGTGTCAAATGGTATGACAGTTATTATTATAATTATTGTAATATTAATAAGACAAGATTATTCTACTTTAACTGCATATAAAACAAATAGAGCCCCTCATAATAATCGTACTTTGTTAAGTCGATTTCCAGGACAGAAAAATAGCATAGAGAGGCCTATGCCCACGTTTTCTACACACCCAACAATGAAGTTCATATTAGATGTAGTACATTAATTACAGATAAAAAAACACTAAACACAAGTAAAAAAAATAAGAAGATCAGGTTCAGAATGCTAAAATTTTAAATAAACAAAACTGTTTCGCGTATAGAGACAGCAACTCTCTTTGAAATACAAAACTAGATCTAATTGATTATATATTTGCAGCAGTCGGTGATCTTGTAGTTCCGTTCGTTAAAGTCCACCACCCATTCGTTTAAATCAAGAGAAGAAATCCGGAAGTCTTGATGACCAAATAGGCAACACAAAGAATAGGGATACAACATAACTGCAAAACATCAAATTATGGTAAAATTCATACCCCCCTGAACACCCCTGAACCCCCCCCCCCCCTTCCCCTTCCATATATATAAGATCAGGTCAGGGGGGCAAGCTGGGGGCTTAACCCTGGAAGCGCGCAGGCCCTATATAAAGGGCGTGAGCCGGGCTACCCGGGAAGCGCGCACGTCCTATATATAGGGCTGACCTACTTCGACCGGGAAGCGCGCAGGCCCTATATAAAGGGCATAGACGCTGACCCTTTTCAATGGAAAATTCCAGTGTTCCTTATATGGAAAATGACGTAGTCAATTACAGGCCAAAGTTATAAATAGTGACCAATGACTTTGCAAGTTATCTTGACCTCGTAGAGCGTCTCTTGGCCGAGATATCGATCGATAAAGTGACGCGGTCCCGCTGAGAGACTACACGCTATGTGTTATCACTTGTTTCGCCTTGCTGATGTACTAATTGTTGAGTCTATCCCGTTCTCTGCATTGTTTGTATTTGTTTGATGGCTGATCATAAAGAAAATATATGCTTTTATATGCTTTTTATCATCTGTTGAGCCGTAAATGGTCATTTTTCAGTAGCAGGTATACATTTCGGGTATCTCAGCTGTTTCCCCCCCCCGCCAAACCCCCATGTTTACAACTGATCGGCCGTGGCGGCGGGGCATTTTTGGCAGGTTACTTCCGGTGAAACGCTGAGTGCTTCTAGGGTTAAGGCCCAATTAACTGGCGAATAATAATTGGGTGTGGGAACTGCCGAAAAAGGGCTTTTCTTTGCTTGAATTTTGATTTGCTCCTCAACAATTACCTGGCAATTGAGGGTCTCTAGCTTTCAGCTTTGGGCTTTAACGAACGGAACTACAAAATCGCCCAGCAGTCGTTCAATTCGACAATTTTTAAAGTAGTGTTAATATCTTTTTTAACACATTACACCCTAACTCGCCCGGGATCGCCCGGGAATTCCCTTACGCGCTCCACCCTGACTCGCCCGGAACCGCCCGCGCCGACCCAGCGTCTTTAGAAACGAAAGTCTCGCCTTGACGAGACTCTGGGGCCGGGATTTGATTTGCATAGTATAGCAAAAAGTTTCTTCTTTCGTTTGATACCGAAACGAAATTTTTCCGGCTAGTAGTTTTAGTATTAGAGCTGATCGAAGTGCGATCGCGTTACCGACACTTCGAAAGTGCCTCAACTTGTTGAAAAGCGACACAATTGAGTTCGAAAACGGAAATAACGATGGATTTGAGCAAAAACGAGCATGTGACAAATCAGATGGCTCAGATTTTGATGAAAACGTTGTAGGAAGAGTTTGGGGCGATTCCGATTGATCAGACGGAGAAATTATAGAATTTAGATCTAGGGCCCGACCGCGAGGCTGAGAGTGAGAGTGACGGGTCGGACACCCCAATTGAACTAAAGTGAGAACATTTCCAACAGTATGCGCATACATAAAGTTATATTTTTCTGAAACTACATTCAGTTTTCTTTTTAACTTTTATTTTTTCAGGATTTTTGGAATTTGTTTAGTATTTTTAAAATGTGTTTTTTAAAGGCTTGTATTCAAGGGAGGTGGGTTCTTTCCCCTTGCTTAGGATCTAACAATGGACTTCCCGTCCAGGCCCTTAGGGTGTACTGTAATGTGTTAACAAGTTAAGGGACTTGCACTTACAGTGCTGGTGTATTTCGGACGAGTGAAGGATCGCTGGGCGTAGGGCCTACCAATTAGCCTAGGTCTTAAGTTTTAATCGTCTTTTATTTAGACTTTTGGGGCTAAACTTTAGGCCTATCTAGATATCTAGATCTAGATCTAGATCTAGATCTAGATCTAGATATCTAGATCAAGATCTATATTATGTCTATTCTATGTACAGAGATCTTGACACTATTTTACACCGTTGAAGTAATGCATTAAATCAAACATTATAAGATTTCAAAGGAAGATCTGTTTCTTCAAATATACTAAAGTAAATCATACCTGTTAAGTTTTATCAAAATACTAAAGATAGGCTAAGCCCCTTGATAGGAGGCTGCAGTTTGAACACCGGAAGAAGCGAATGCAGTCGTTGCTACAACAATGTTCCATTTGGTGTGATTCTGGAACAGGATAATCTTTATTCTTGAACAGTGTAGATAATCAAAATGGCAACTTCCTTTAATATGTCAGACTTTTCATATTTTGAATGTAAGTGCTTCAGTTATGACCTAGCCCATTCCATAGTAGTTAAAAAAATGTTGCATTAGATTTTTATAAATTGGCAAATGGGTTTTTAAAAATATTGAAATCCCAGTACAAAATCGTCAGGAACAGAATGAACCCATTCCAGAACCGTTCGTCTTTTTAAGACAGATTAAGACTTTCATTATAAAGAGCTTTGTAAGGGGAGAGAAGCGTACCAACTTCGCTAATTTTATGACTCGCTATTTTTTTTTATCGGCTTAAGTAATTATGATTAAGCAGTTTCGTGAACGGTCTCGTGTATGGTAGAAACACAATTTCGAGAAGATCAATATTGATCGGTTCATATTCATATAATGAAATAGTAGAGTAATGCTAAAGAAATGAGTTTGGATCCGACTTGTAGAAGATATTCTGTTGAATGACTAATAGTTGTCAAATATAGTATCCCCCCCCACACAGCCCAAGTTAACGCTGAAGCCTGAAGGATCGAAACAACCTGTCTTTTTTTTTCTTTTTTTGGTGAGTGTTTTACGGCGCTTGCAACTGCATTAGGTCATATGAGCGCGTGGGACACACTAAACATTTTCAATTGGAAGAAGATTTTGAATTTTGCCCGGGTTGCTGCTGAAGCCTACGTTCATCGATTTTGGACCACCAAGAGATCTTTAACGTGCGCAACTTGAACACGGGACTTCCGAAATTGTTCACCCTTATCCAAGAAGGCTATGAGTAGATCTTTCCTACCACAAGGTCAGGGGTGTGACGGAGCCAGGGAGTAGCAGTAGAAAGGCTGCAGAATGAGTCAGGAGCCCACGAGGAGGAGACAAAGGGGGTTGGGGGGGGGGGGGGCAGAAAGTGAAGGAGAAAGCAGACGACAGAACATTGCAAGAGAGCATGAAAGGAGGTGAAAGGAAACAATTGTAGAGAAGAAAATTTTCCGTGGCTCTTCAGGCTCGAACCCGGGATCTATTGAATGAGAGGTGAACACCTTAACTTCTTGGCCACGAGACACCCCCACAGCCTGTCTCAATATCCACGACCTAATTGAATGTGTCAAAGAGGGCATAAAACATTTACAATTTTGACAAAAACCCAGCAGAGAGAGGTGTGAAGTATTAAAGAGTGCGTTGGTGGAAAGCCTGTAAAACTGCCGTAGCAACCCAAGTTAATTTAGTTTTAGTATGCGTTTTACGGCACTTGCAACCATTCGTAAATTTAAGTGCTGAGATATTAATGCAGCTTTAGTTTTAGTAAGCGTTTTATGACACTTGCATCAGTTCAGCAATTTAGGTGCCAAAGATTACAGGTGTTACAACAAAGTAAATATACAAAGAAAAAAGAAGGTGGAGAAATATAGTTTGATAGGGCAGAAGCAGCAACCCACATCAGAGCACCCGCCAACCGCCCACTTTATGTCAATGATATGTCCCCCCCTTCTGCTATGCACACAACAAGCCGTGAAGGACTGAAGTATCTGCCTACCTGCCTCCCCAGATTTCGGGAACACTCTCTACAGTGACAAAACACAGCTAGTAAAAACCTGTAAATCATCAATTGCTCAGTCACAATCAACAGGCTAAAGGGCTCAAACTCAGATAGCCGCTGGATTGGAGAAGTAATGGTAAAGTAAAGCAAGTTATTGAAGAGAAAGTCTTTGGAAATATGAATCAGGGCCATCTGAAACGTAGTGCAACAACATGACACTAACTAAGCAACCTGAAAACAAAAAGATAGGTAGAGAGAGAGAGACAGACAGACAGACAGACAGACAGACAGACAGACAGACAGAGAGACAGACAGAAAATAAGAATGGGGAAATGGTATGGGTTTAATGCTCCTATCAACACTAAAGTTATTTAACAGGCGGGGCCTCCTAGTAAAACGTCCGTCTCCGAAATGACAGAGCCAAATGGGACACTTGTGTAAAGTGCCTTTCCCAAGGACACAATGTCGGACCGAGCTGAGGCTCGAACTCCCAAACCCGCAATCTCACAATTACGAGTCCGGTAGTCTAACCACTGTGACTAGGCTACTGACTCCACTAGACAGAGAGAGACAGACAGACAAAGAGAAGAAAAGAAAAAAGAGAGGGGTGGGATAAATGAATAAAAAAAATTTTTAACTCAGGGTTAGCAGAATATCAAGTTATTATTTATTATTATCATCTTCAATACAATTTTCCCTCCATAACAAAACAAAAATAAAACAACAATCCATGCCACATCAGAAACACCCCCACAAGAAATGTTATAACATTATCAAATTCATTATGTCACAAGACCCACATAAGACATCATAATCATGCATCTCCAGCCTACACACTACACAACATTGGCCAAGTATTGGACATGGAATGAGTGTGAGCACAAGGACATTTATTCATGGTCAACAAGTTTGAACTAGCCCATTGACTTCACTTAACATCGAAATACCATTCCACTTTACCACACTCACTACTTTCAATGGGAATTTCACACTAAATGATGTCACAGCATAGAATGCTCAACTTCCATCTTCTTTCAGAAACAGCACTGTGTGCACATCCCATAAGTTCTAAGTTCAAATTTCTGGGATAACAGAAAAAAATAATTTAAATTGAATATACATCAATGTTTTTTTCCCTTTTCATATTGGACCCTCAGAAGTCAAGACAATGTAGCATGTCCAGACTAACACACAACTCATCATCATGTCAATGTTCAGATTCAATCAAAATTTAAAATCCTTCCAAAACATAAAACAAATTTTGCAACACCAAATCAATGTTGCACATCACAACCCAAATACTTTTATTAAATTCCAAATTCCAGCAAAGGGGTTTGTGACTTAAAATGACTACATAGGCAAATTATTTATATCATATGCACAGTGGAGTTTGCTACTGATCTCCTAAATACCTTAGGAAACAATTGCAGTTATCTTTCATTTATGTTTTTTTTTACTTTTTACAATTTAAAAATTTAAAACTAGAAATGAGGTCCCAGTTTGATTTTTTTAAGTTAACTCAAAAAAGCTTGTCATTGCCGAGAACCTCACGCCATGGTAAAAATACAAACAAGTGACAGCTTCTTCAGAACTGAACCAAGTTTAAATTCAAACCCTTTGACTTCACTGTCTTCAAGCACACCATTCCAACAGAAAAAAGTTGAGAGATAATCAGAGAATTCACATCCCCGTCAAAGTGAGACATAATGCTACCTTAGAATTACAAGCTTTTATCTGACATTTTTGACCATTTTGAGTTACTATGACCCTGAGGTCAGAGACCAAATGTTCTATCTGATGTATAAAAAATCATAAGATTATTTGGTGTTGTTATCAAAATATTCAGAGCTGCATTCGAAAAAGCTTGATATACTGTGAGACTCAACATGTTTACCATCACATCTCTCAAAACTAGGTACTATGCATATAGAAAACTTTGTAATTCTAGCATAGTGAAGCGACTGAAAATGAAGTTCTGAAATACTTGTGGGCCAAAATAAAGTTGGAGTCTCGCTGCTGACAGTAAACTATGCACATTGTGAGAAATGAGCATACTTCTCACAAATGTTAAATGAATGTTTTTTTGACAATTTTAGACAATGTAGGAAGCAAGCTGCTTTACATTTAACATATCAGTTCAGCATCCCAGCACACAAGACAAGAGACTCTCAGTAAATGTCAACTCATTTCTTCTACAGGCAAAGACAAAGAGCCTACCTAATACACTAATAACAATATATACTTTTAACAATAATAACAATAATAGTAATAATAATGGTAATAATAATAACAATAAAAATAATAATAATGATGATGATGATAGTCCATACATCGAATTATTAATGTCAAAGGATGACCAAAGCATCTGCAGAGGAGAACATTAAGTGAACTGCTATGGCCAATGAGAAAGATATCTATCAAACTACACATAGGAAAGGTAAAGGGTCAGAATTTACACTTTCTGTGGAAAAAGAAGAAAGGTACTTGCTTGTCCGGAACTAAGGGCTCAGGCCCTCACTTGCAGGACGTCAGTAATTTCACAGCACATAAAAGCCAAAATTCTGCCAGTAGACATAGAGCAAAAGTAGCAGGCCTCTCATTCAAAAGTAAAGTCTGAAGCATTAATTGGCTACACAAACTCCAACAAACTCTCTAACACAATCAAAAACTTTGTGAAAATGCAAAACATGAAATTAATAAAACAAGTGAAAACAGAAACATTAAAATTCAACTCACAGCCATGCAAGTCTCCAGTTTAGAGGCAAAGGACAGTACTTTTAGAAAAAAATGTACACTGCCATTCACACAATTTAAATGATTTATAAGGAAAGCTTCATTTAATATACCCTGCAAGCAAGAACCAACTTAGGCAGAGTCGGATGCAGCATCCCAGCAGACAGAGAGAAATGCTCCATTTAATAACTCCCTGCAACAGTGCAGAACTTAACCAGGACACCATCGTTGGTCATAGTTATGTAGGTGCTACATATGCTACAGGTGTAACTAGACAGTAGCGCATAAAAAGAAGAGAGGAAAGGATGATAGACGTTTGATAAGAAAGAAGGAACAAACCACACCAAAGAGCCCACCAAACACACACTAAAAACTTCAATTTTTCTTATGACTGAAAACTCAAGTTATTGAGACATCATCTTTTAATCTCAGGTCTTGGCCACATCAACTTAAAAGAAAGCAACACACTAGAGAAAAAAAGAGTTAAGAAAACCTGAACTCACAAAGAAAAGATGAAGTAAAATAAGAGTTAAGATGAGTTGTGACCACGTTGTACAAAGGTGAATCAGTAAAATAACGGCCGCATTTCCCCAGAAACTCATCAGTATGGTATCAGTCAAGCATGGGCAAATCATGGCCCACTAACAATTTCAGTCCAGCCCACGGGTCAACCCACGAATTAATGAACAATGACTGTGGCCCCGGTTGACTTATGCAAACAAAACTCCCTCTTGAAAATAAAAATTAACAGCCAGTTGGGAGCAACTGGTCCAATATCTTATCATCTCATGAAATGCCCTTGAATGCCATAAATTGCTATAGTGTCAGTTTCTCATGAAATACCCTTGAGCACCATCAATAAATAGTGTCAGTGTGTCAGTTTTAGTCTCACTTTTCAGAGTTTGGGGACTTCAATCGACTTCACCCACTTTTCTACAGCTCTGGCCCGAAATGAAATATTTGGAACAACGACCAGCAACTTGGACATGGTATGCTTACACATGCCTGATGTCTAGAGGTTTTACACCTATTTCAGGACCGTAAATCTATTTAAGTGGACAGACCTCCATCCTCAACACCCACCTAACAAAGAAGAAAAAATTAACAAAAGAAGCAGGAATCGACATCATGTCATGTGTGTGCGATGGCAAAGAGCCTTGCCCCCAACTACAGATACCAGTGAACTTCTTAGTGAGGGACAAAAGTTACAGGGCTAGCACTGACAAAGAAATGGTCATCTTTTCACTTAAGAAACTAAAGACATTCATTGTAGTAGCACCAATAAACTGACAAGGACCAAGTACTCACACACACACACT